GTGGTGGGCACACTGTAATGATGGGGTGGTGGGCACACTGTAATGATGGGGTGGTGGGCATACATTGTATAAAATGAAAGGAAATGAATGTTGTCCTGCAGAGGCACAAAGACTCTATGCATGAGAAAAAGAAACAGAGGGTAAGGTGTCAGAGCTTCATATTCTCGAGCCTAAAGATGGCCTGGACACATTAGTAGTTCATAAGATTTATTTTCATACATAGTTTCTTTAATGCTGCTCTAAAGAGTCTTAAGTGCTAGTGTTCCAAGCAGGGGGGAAGGAGAATTCCCAGAGCTATGTGAAGAAGGAGGCCGGAGAATAGGAGTATCTTTGATCCAAGAGATTGAAAGTTATCTCAGAGCTCAGACCCAACCTCAAGATGCTCCTGGGCTAAAAGGGCATCATTCTAACATCCCCAGGGCAAAAATATAGCAATGAATTAAAATCTATTAATTATATAAAAAGTCACATGTTGATATGAAGCCGATCCATAGACTAAGAAAAACAACAGGAAACATAACTTCTCAGATCTCCTGTAATGCAAATGAAGGAAGAGCTGGATGTCAGGGAACCCAGTTCCCAGAGTAAGAAGAAAACACAACAAAGGCTTTGCTGTAGGGAAGCCCAGGCCATGCCTTTCCTGTTCCAGATGTGCTGCACGGGTGCTCAAAAAGCAGCTGCTTTATATAGACGTTTCTAACTATTACATGAAAAAGAGATGCTAAAACCAAACCAGCTCCAGTGTGCTTCCATTAGCCAGTGGCTGTGAATACCTGCCAGCTGCCCAAAAGACACTTTCTGCCTCACAGGGAGAGTTGACAGGCACTGGGACATCAAAGAGATGCCAGTGTGACCCCCATCAGGACTCATGTCACTTCAGAATTATGGGGACTGAGGGAATACACGAAAACTCGAAAACAATCAGGATGAGCAGAAGCCAAACTGAGTAAGAAATTCCATTTCTTTTAAAGAAAATGTTTTTTTCATGGGAAATGAAAAAATGTAGTAAAAAATGTAAAATTTAAAATTTAAAAGCATCTAAGAAAAATCTACTTTTTGCACTTCAGGTAGATCCCTGTCTGACCCAACAGAATTCATGTTCTCGTGAGACCACACACTTCATAGTTTTAGGAAATTTTTCATTTGAGAGATTTTCCTTGTCTGGTATTATACTAATATCATAAAGTTCCTTTCAGTAACAGCTACAGATTGAATTACATGATATCCTGAATTTGCATCAAAATAATTTGGCAGGTGTGGGGTAAGTCAGGGATAGGATTTTGAACGAGGAATAAAAAATAGAAAGTAAATTGGTCATTGTGGGGCTTAGATTATTATTTCTGCTTCACATCTATATATGAAATCTGTGATATGAACTTTTAAAACTAATGTAAGGCTATTGAAAGGAGTTAATAAAATGCAGTGTCTGGTTTGGGCTGATAGCAGAGGCATGCTGAGTGAAGAGGCATAGTTTTTGTTTAGTTTTCCCACTGTGAATGGTTCAAGTATCCAGGCCATGAAGACCTACCGTAACTTCTGGGAGAGAATAGAAGACAGAATGTGCAATCAACTACTACACAATTGCACTGAGAACACACTTCAGACAATAATGGATTCCACTGCATTAGGACACTAGACAAAGGGATTCTTCAAGACAAATCCATAACTTCACCAGGAAATGCCAAAGAAGAATTCTTTTCATCCCTATCTTATTAATGTTTGTTGCAACACTGATGACAGGGTTTCAACCACTGACCTGAATGGCTGGGAGGCCCCTGAATGAAAGTGGAACAAAGACATTCATAGAAATGCCTCTGGGATCCTCCATGAGGAAGTACTCCTTCTAGAAATTACATTCTTACATTTCATCTTCAATCAAAACAATTAATAACCCAGGTGAGGTCACAGAAAAAAAAAGCAATATCCAAGGGATATTACATTAAACATGGGATTTGATTTGAGCTATTGTCTTGTAATCAGTATAACCTTATTCCTTACCTTTGTAGGAGACAACAGGATGCTCAGCTCTCTGGCACTTGGCAGGGTCCTGGGTCTCTGGCCGTGCAAATCTCCACACTCCCAGGCTTGAGAACAGCCATGCAAGGATGCAGGCTCCCTTCATGGTGGGCAAGGGGTCTCTGACTCTGGGAACGTGTCTTCTACAAAGCTCACCTTCTCGTCATGTGTGAATAGTACCTAAAACATACAAGAGAATGATTCTATAAATATGAGTTCAGGTTTTGTTTCATGATGGATAGTGTTTTGGAAAAGTCCTACTACTAACTTTCAAGTTTATAATATGTAAAGACATGTGATAAAACATGTGATAAAGACATGTGATAAAACATGTGATAAAGACATGTGATAAAGACATGTGATGGTAGAAAGCACAAACATCTGACCTTGATACTAGGTGATGCTTCAGAGTGTTCTCTCTCTCTCTCTCTCTCTCTCTCTCTGTGTGTGTGTGTGTGTGTGTGTGTGTACGTGTACGTGTGTATGTATCTGTCTGTCTCCCTGTCTATGGGAGGGGTAGGGATTTTCGTGATATGTTGTTATGTGTATGCATAGAAGGTCGTGTGTATAACAGTGTAGGGATATATAGGTGAGTGTATGTGTGCAATATAGATGCATTGTGTACATTTGTGTTGTTGTGTATGGATGTGTGCATATAGATGTGTGTGTTGATGTGTGTGTGTGTTTACTGATATGTGTCTGTTGCTGTGTGTGAGTGTGTGTATGTGTGTGTGTGTGGTGGGTGAGTATATGTATGTATATAGATTGTGTGTGTGTGTGTGTGTGTGTGTGTGTGTGTGATGTAGATGTGTGTGTACTGGTATGTATATGTCTGGGGGGGAATGGGTGTGAGTGTATGTGTAGATGTGAAAACTCTGCTAATTAAAGTTGAAGTCCACCATGACCAGATAGCCTCTGGGCTCAGTGCAATTTGGAAGACTCCCTTCATGGGCAGGGTTTCTCTTTCAATGACCTTGCCTGGGGAATTCTCACCCCCACACACATGCCTCTACCTGAGGAATGTCAGGTAGCCTCAATCAGATTACAGATTACAGGGCAACTTTCTTTCTCCTGATCAGTACCAGTTCAGCCAGCACCTGAGATTCCTGAAATGCTTCTCCATTCTAATAAAGCATTCCAAGTAGCCTAAGCCGAAGGCCAAGATCTTTGCCTACCCTGGACATCCCTACCTTCAGTCCCCCAAAACTTTATAAACCTTGAATCACCCCAAGTAAAGTTGATCTGCCTACTGATTGCTCGACCAGGTGTGGTCATTCACAGTACTTACTACTCAGGGCTTCTGAACCCCAGCCCCACCTCACTGTCTCTGCTCACACTGCCCATGTGGATTGTATCAGCTGACAATCTATGAGAATGGATAGTGTGTATATATATTGCATAGATTTTGTGTGTATGGGTTTGTTGTGTTTATTAGTATTGCATTTGTATGTGTGAGTGTATATGTGTGTGTGTTTGTGTGAGTGTATGTGTGTATATGTGTGTGTATGGGCGTTGTGGAGGGAGGATTACTATCTGGTTTTGTGAGTCAATTTGACACAAGTTGGAGCCTCCCTTGAGGAAATGCCTCCATGAGATCCAGCTGGAAGGCATTTTCTCAATTAGTGATCAAGGGTGGGAGAGCCCATTGTGGGCGGTGCCATCCCTGGGCTGGTAGTCCTGGGTTCTATAAGAAAGCAAGCTGAGCAAGCCAGGGGATGCAAGGCAGTAAGTAACATCCCTCCATGGCCTCTATCATCTCCTGCCTCCAAGTTCCTGCCCTGTGTGAGTTCCAGTCCTGACTTCCTTTGGTGATGAACAGCAATGTGGAAGTGTAACTGAATAAAGTGTAAGCAAGATGGATGAATCCTCTCATCTTGCTTCTTGGTCATGATGTTTTGTGCAGGAATAGAAACGCTGACTAAGCAGGGTTTGTATGTGTGAATATGTGAACTAAATCTGAGGCAATCCAAGTTTAAGCCCTCCTAGGTCACACCCCTCTTAAGTAATGGTGATTAATCTCTATGATCATTATTGGAGGCTTCCTGGTACGTCTGTCGTGGCCTTCTTATGCAAATAAAGTCTACATGTAGTAACTCAGTCACTCTTTATCATCCATAAGACCTTATTTAATAAGGCTAGAGTCTTTGCTTTTGCCAAAAATCTGATGAATGGTATGGCTCATAATTCTTATCAATCATTCCAATGACATTATTAATTTATAGAATTATAAATTCTAGGATAGAATTTATATGAGCTGGAACCCATAAAACACATCTTGTCAGCCACCATTGCTGAGACTAAACCTAGAACACACTGGGGGTCTTCAGCATGTGTCACAAACAGAGAAAAATATCCCAGCTATAAATTATAGAATTATAATTTATGTATCTCCAAAACCTGGGGCCAGGTGTGCTTGAAACAGAACATAAACAGAGCAAGTACCAGGTAGAATAACAGGATGCGGCTAGACACTGAGACACTTGCAAGACTATGAACATGTGCTTAAACAAGGCCAGCTTAGACAAATAACTGTAACCCAAGCTCTTTAAGAGAAGCAAGGGTGACTTGGGAGTGAAGGGAGGGTGCTCTGCCACTTACTGGGAACAAGGATAGGTTCACATAGGGGTCAGATTTCAGTTTAATATTGCATGATAATGAGGATTTCAAGAGATAGAGATCTGGAAAGGTTATTCCATATCAAGGGGAGAGGAGGAGAGGACATCTGTGGAGTGGGTAAGCAGGTTCAAGGCAGCCATAAGCATATTCTGGAATGCTTTGTTGTACTTGGTACAGAAACCAGGTAAAGCAAAGAGAGCAGAGGAAGAGCATAGAGTACAGGTTATGGTATGGGAAGTCAATTGCTGTAAGGTGAGAGGTCTTAACTGTTAGACCATGAAGCCGTCTGGACAGGAAATTGTAGACAGAAGGACAGGAGGGTGAAAAAGGACAGAAGGGTGAAGAAGTTCATTTAAAGTTATGGCAATTGTTCAAAAAATACATAAAGAAATTGTGGTTTTAGACTTTGTCAATAATGATCAAAAAGCAGAAACAACAGCTAATACCATGGATGGTTAAAATGGCGACCGATGCCAACTCGACCCCTGATCCATGAGGATGGGGCCTCTACCCTGTGAGTCTGAACTGCTCTGTAGCACCCTGCTAACCAAGCCACACAACAGAAGTCACAAATTCTAGTTACCAAGCCAGGCCCTACAGCATGATGACCACTTCCTGCCACCCAGTACACGTTCCTTGGAGAATAGAGGGACCTGTTCAAAGAGACCAGGTAGGTGGTTTGAGGGCTGGAACCTATAAAATCCATCTTGTCAGCCACCATTGCTGAGATTAAACCTGGAACACACTGGGGGTCTTCAGCATGTGTCACAAACACAGAAAAATATCCCAGCTGTGCCCTTTCCAAATCCCTGAACACCAGTATATAAACTATATTTAAAATATGTATTGTTCTGATCTACTAGATTATGAAAGCACAGATATATAAATATCAGGACGTGACTGCTGCTATTCATTTAAATAGTATCCACAGATGGCCTCGTATAATGAAAATATAATTATTTGATGTTGTACATGCCAGGATTAAGATGCTGAATGGATACTTTAAAATATCCCATAAAGCCCAGGTCAGGTGACAAGGACAAAAATTAGAATTAATACCTAAAATCTAGAAAGGTTTAAATGATAAATGGGGTTGATCTCCCTTAAAGGGAGGTATGATAGACAAGGAGGAGGCAACATTACATGGGAAAGGTCACTGGGTTCTGCCCAAAGGAAATTAAACAACAGGTAGCATGTAGGGGTTCCACAGAGCAAGAAAAAAACAAAAACAACAAAACCAAACCAAAACAACAACAAGAACCTGGACTGAGAGAAGTGGAACAAATGTAGAGCTCTCTTACATTGTATGGCCAGAGAAAATGTAATAAAATAAGTTTATGCTCAAAGGCTGGCAATTTTCAGGACTGAGAAATTTGGCAATCAAACACATACTGCTATGCGGTAGTCAAGGCAGCAGTATGCTGCATCCAGGGCATTTAAGAGTAATCAGGCTGTTTTCACAAGAGGGATTGCTTACACGAGGGTGGCCTGCTGGAGAGGCCCCTGCAGCCTCCTGGGCTCTCTTCTCTCATGCTGTTGTGCATATCTCCTTGCCATGACATGGCATGCAGGCCACAGTGGATGGTGCAGCAGAGACGACCTCATTCATCACCGCCCCCTGATTTCAGACTTCTAGCCCCCAGCAAAAATAATTTATTTTCTCGGAAAAAAATCACCAATTTCTGAGAATATTTACAAGGGAGGAAACAGGATGAACCCACTGGTAATTAAATACAGTCTGTCTTCTGTTAAAGTTAAATGTGGAGAAGGGGTCAAAGATGTAAGAGGAGAGGGTGAAGGTGGTCTCTGCCTGGCATCTGAACGCTTGGGAAGCTTGGCTAAAGTATTATGAGGTCAAGCCAGCATGGACTTCATAATGAAACACTGTCAATAAGTAAATAAATACATAAAGAAGTACTAGAGAAGTGGTATATGAAAGAAGAGACAGAAACATTCGAAATGAGAAGCATCTAGAATAAAGAAACTAGTTAATGAAGGGAGAAAAGGTTTCATCCTTAAAAAACAGTAGGTATTGTTATATTATAATTTATATTACATATAACAATTATATATAATATATATGATATTATAATAGATTGTAAGATTTAGAAATAGAGAAAGACATCAAATTGGTAGTCTACCTAATGTAACAGTTTCTAATTTTTTTTAGTCAAATAAATAGAAATTTTGATGGCTACATGGGTGATGAGGAGGATTTTAAGCACTAGAAAATGTTAAGGAGCTAAACTCTGGAATTTATAAAAGTAATTAGATCTGAGTGTTTCTCATTCATACTGAATGTCAACCACACACATGCACACTCACACGCACACACACACGCACACACACGCATCGTTCCATGCGTATATAAATATGTAAGGGAACAGGCAGCACAGTGCAGAGGAGGCAAACCCTAGAGCATCGGTTAGCAGCAATAGGGGCACAGACATGAGGAGGCATAGCAAGGAGACTCACTAAGACGAAGAGTTCCAAAGCAGGTACACGGTTAAGATCCTCAGTAATGTAAAAGATTCTAGAAGTTCTCATTGGATGAAATGCTCAGG